ACTGTACCCAAAAGTCAGCAATAACTGCCTGCCTCAGCACAGTTCCAGGAAAGTGTGCATGTCGAAATTGATCCAGAGAGACCTACACCAAGTCTCAAAGGTAGGCTGGCAAAATTAGCCTCCTGCAATCCTAACATATTGCTCTAGCCATATTCATCATATAATTTCTTTTCTCTTGGCAAATTCAGAGGAAATTAGGGTCTGATTTCATTAGGAGGGATGAGATTATGGGATTTTTTTTCCTACAAGAAAAAAAACAGCTTTAAAATGCTTATCCCAAGGAAGTCATCCATCGGCTCCTTAATGAGTCTGTAACCCATCTGTCATAACCACTGGTGATGCCTTACCTCCACAGACAATGACCACCCAGAGGACAAGTCAGAAACAGCAAATTCTGATTTCTATGTACCTGAGAAGGTTCTCATCAGGTCTGGGGCACCGATCAAAGAGCTAGAGAACATCACTGTTCCCTACAATAGTAGGCCCTTCCAGCCTATCTTCCATCTGAATCTATGTATGGTAAACATATTAAATAGAAGTAGGGGGGGGGAGAGGGTGTAAATCTAAAAGTCACTGCAAAAGTCCAGCAGCACCTCAATGTAGGAGCCCATGACTACAAATGGTCTCTTCTTAGTTCCCCAAGCAAACAGGCCTTTTCCAAGTAAACATGATTCTCTTCAAGCAGGCAGTCTGTCACATCCATTAGGCCTGTTCTTACCACTCACTGAGGCAGCATGAGGAATCTGCCACCCACTGTCTACAGTTTGAGGAGTGAGGAATCACCACCATGAATGACATGAATAGTGAGCTGATGGGCGCCTCCATTATTTATGTCATCACTGTGACATTTGGACAAAAAAGGAAAAAGAGCAGACATCTCTGAGCCTGAGGACACTAAGACAGGGGCTTGAACCCTTCTTCAGTTAAATTTGGAGTTTCAGGAGTTAATATTCTTACCCTGACTGAGTCTCTGTGGTGACCTCACTTTCCCTCCTATTTTAGTCTCCTCATCCCTGAAATGGCTGCGACACTACTAGCTCACCCCAGAAAGCTGCAAGAAACCTGATAGATGTTCTTGATTGAAATTTCAAGTAAAGCAGTCCAGACTACCTCTAATCACCAGTCCACTTTTACTTCAAATGTCAAATCTACTTCTGCAACATTCAAGAAGACCCAGCTACTGTACCTCTCTTGGACTTGGTAATATTTTGAATGTTTTACAAATAACCGTAGGCAACAAAGAGCAAGGCAGAAGAGGAAAGATAATACACAAATATCAAGCTCACCAGCAAAAAGGGATAAAAATATAAATGCGAAAAGCTCTTTCTGGTTTTGGAACAAAAGACACTCAGGCAAAGGATGGTGTCCATGAATAAAACACATACATGCGCAGTAAAAGCACTGAAAATAAAGAAGCGGAAACTGCAGAAATATTTATATTTTATATGCAGGTCACTACTGTTGGGTACAAAAAAGAATCCTTTAAAACGGAAGTCTTTAGAAGCAAAAGGTAGGACAGTCTAAACTAATTGCAAACATGTTGGCTAAGGACGAGCCACAGGGCCGACGCACTGAGATGGAGTACAGCTCTAACGGCCACTGTGCACGCGGTGGATTAAGTTTGGGGCTGTGTCACTCCAGCTTTATGTCCGTTAAAGGAACAAACTATTTACATGTTGCTGCATTACAGGCGTATGATATGTGGAGTGTCAACCCTTTATCTTCACGTTGAACCATGTTAAGTCAAATTAGAGACAGGGCTGGTGGGGGAGGGGTTGGGGAGAGGAGGAGAATAGCAGGGAGAAAGAAAGTTTTTAAAAAATCTCTGCCTCAGCAAAAGTTTTCATTAAAATTTTAGACAAATGATCCCTGTGTCCTTCTCCCTTGCTGCCTGGGGCTCCATGCTATTTCTATGCAAATAACAACCTCGTGGTTTATATCTTATTATTTCCACCGGAGCTGCAGCGACATGACCTGAGACGTGTAAGAGATGGGGGGTGGGGGGGGGGAAGGAGATAGGGAGGGAGTTGAAGAGGAGAAAGAGAGAAAGAGAGGGAGAAAGGGAGAAAGAGATGGAGTGGGTGTTCACTGAAGTGTGAAAAAATATTGTCAGGAGTGAGCGTCAAGAACAAAAAAAAAAAAATTGCAGGGATAACGTGTTTATTTCAGTCCCCCCA